TGAATCAAATATGTATCTTTATTCATTTACAATAAACTCATAAAGTACATCATTCTGATTGAAGCTAAGGGCATACAAAACTGTCTAACACTAACTTAGACCCAATAACCACCCTGTGAACAAGTCAAAAACAGTTTATAGAAAATAAATAATAACATATAATAAAAACTGTAATTGGTGTGTGTTGTAGTGTGTTCACAGGGATGATATTAGTAAGTTACTCCATCAACATGTGGCTTTTCACATGGCCAGTGGATTCTCCTATACATTGAGGATTCCAAATCGAGGGCCTATGGCCACCCGTTCCAACATTAAGGAGCGGTTTCATTGCTGCGTCGAGAGAGGGCTTTAATGGTTCAAAACGATTAGGATGTTGGGTTCTCCGAGCTTTAGAAATCTGCTAAGCATGCTTGGGATGTTGGGAGGATGCTTTGGAAGGAGCTTGAATCTAACACTCCATTATGCTTTCTGGATCGGAATTTTTGGACCAGGGTAAGATTCTGCTACTTCCGTGTGGTTTAACTCTAGGCACATTATGCTTGTCGGAAAGTCGTATGCGGCTCACCCTGAGTATGACCCAAAGATATCATTGTTGAAGGATGGGGATAAGTCAGTCATGGTTTCGCGGTTCATGATGGAGTTGCAAGGACTGAAGATGGTTGATGGAGAGGACGAGTTGCATCAGGGTAGAGTTTGTGCTACTACAGCAACTCGTTGCAGTGACGTACTAAAATAGGGGAAGCGGAGCTGAAATAGGAAAAAGAGAACGAAGGGGAAGAAGAAGAGAGAGAGAGAGAGAGAGGTTGGAGATGGAAGGGTTTAAGGACCGAGCTGATTCAGTTTGTCGCTGCTGAAAGGAAAAAGACGATAAAGGAGGAGAAACAAGAAGAAGGGAGAGGGAGGGATGAAGGTAAAATTGAGTTTAAAAAAATATACATCTCACATGGTGTCATGTGTGTATGGGTTTTGATGGATGCTTACAATAAGAATAGAGCTAGTCAATTGTTAGAAACAAGACAATAGTCAAACAGTAGTGATAATGTTAGACAATTAACTAAACCATAAGGGTAGTTTAAAAGATTTACCCAAAAATTAATAAAGTTAGTTGAATCAACAAAATCTAATATGTTTACAAATAAATTACAAAAATAATGAGCGGGAAAAAGTTAATTTTTATGGGCCAAATTACCCTCCCTAATTTTGATTTTTCTCTCTTACTTTCTCTCTTTTTATTTTTTTCTTCTTCTTCCCCATCAACATCGTCAAACATGGTGACCACCAAACCTGTCCGGTGGTTGCCTCTCTCTCTCTCTCTCCTATTTCTCTTCTTCTTCCTCCTCCCTCTTACGCTATAGCAAAACCGTAATCAGTATCTTGAACAAGAGTGTTGACTCTCCATTATTGAAAAAGCAACTTCTCTATTACATTTCCTCCCTTGTTCTTCTTCCCCTTATTCCTGTATAAAATCCTACAAATTTTGCCTTTGAAAGATGCCTGTTGTGCCTTGAGGGGGGGGGGTCACGGACCATGAGGAGTTGTCAAAACCGGGGGCTTCGTACACATATACGCACGTAAGGCTTGTACATAAGATATGGACACCACTTACAACCCAAAAGCCTAAGCTATTCGATTATAGGCCACTCTTGTATATAAGTCCTTTGCACTTCTTGTGTCTTGTATAGAAGCAAACTCTCCACCATTATCTGTCCGTAGATATTTTATTTGCTTTTCGGTTTGTTTCTCTACTTTTGCCTTTCAAATTTTGAATTTCTCAAAAGCTTCAGATTTATACTTCATGAAGTACACCCAAACTTTTCTGGAATAATCATCAATAGAGCTATAAAAAATATCATGCTCTACCGCTACAAATCACGGGCGATGAACCCCATGTATCTGCATGCACATACACAAGAATCTCCTTGTTTATTTCAATAGATGTTGTAAAACTGACCTTGCATTGCTTTCCAAAAATACAATATTTGCATAAATCTAATTTGCAAGATTTAACACCATCAAGTAATTTCCTTTTCTGCAGTTTTATCATGCCTCTCTCGCTAATGTGTGACAATCTCAAGTATTATAACTTACTAGAATCATACAATTCTAAAGTGGATGTGACAGTTGCATCTCCAATGATAGTTTTTCTAATTAACCTATATAATGATCATTTTTCTCTCCTTTTATGACAACTATTGGAACCCTTTTAACTTTTATGACTCCATCAGCCCGACTATATGTACACCCAAGATCATCTAAACCACCAAGTGAGACTAAACTTTTCTTAAGATCTAGGACGTCTAACATTTGCTAATGTTTTATTTCCAATGACCGTTACCAAATAAGCATACAATTCTAGGAGAGATGAGAGGATAAGAATCGCTTTATCATATTCCCCATCCCCGACCCCGATTTTGAAATTAACCTCCATCCTCGTCCCCGATGGGGATGGGTTCCCGCAGGGATCCGAATCTCCGAAATTTTTTTAGATAACGATATTTATTTGAAAAATAACTTTATAGTCGACATCTTCTCCATCATAAGTGCTTTACAAATTTAATAACCTTACCCTGATATCACTTGTTGTGCCTTGAGGTGGGGATCACGGACCCTGAAGAGTGGCCAAAACCAAGGGCTTCATACACATACATGCATTTAAGACTTATACACCAAAGATGAACACCACTTACAACCCAAAAGCCTAAGCTATTAGTTTATAAGCCACTCTTGTATATAAATCCCTTGCACTTCTTGTGTCTTTCCAATGTGGGGCTCTTTATCATTCCTCATTCCATACACCTACTCACATTTGCATCCCTACAATACCTAGACAAAATCAGGCGTGTAATTCATGGAAAAATTAAATCTTTCAATATGAGCAAGTTTGTTTGGAACTGGAGAAAATGAGATGCAAACAATCATGTGTCGAATCATTAAAGCAAGGCATATTTCACATGGGATTTTGCCAAATCGTGAACTGGGAATAATTGAAAATTCCTTCAACACTAATTCTAATATGCTCTCGTCCGTCAAATATATATTCTAATCATGAAACAGTGCAAGATATTCACTCACCACCACGAACCGGTTATAATTAGACCTGTTCATGGGCCAGGTAGCCCGATGGCCCAGCCTGCACCCTGGTCGGGCTTGGTCATGTAATTAGGCCCGTGAGCCTGACCTTGGGCCTAACACAGTAAGCCTGACTGTGTTTTGGGCCGGGCTTGGGATTTGTCAAAAAAGCCCAACCCGGCCCGACTTAGCATTATATATTTTATAAAATATATAATATATATTTTATTAATTATATAAAATATATAAATAATATAATATTTATTGAAATACATACTTATAATTTAATATATACATTTCTTTTCTTTTCTTTATAATTTCTCTCTCTCTCTCTCTCTCTCTCTCTCTCTATCTATCTATCTATCTATCTATCTATCTATCTATATATATATATTCAGCCGCTTCAGCAGTAGTAACAGTATGGGCTAAATTTTAGGCTCGAGCCCAGGCCCGGGCTTCGGGCTTTTTATGTGGGCCGGGCTTGGGCCCAAGTTGTAGGCCTGATGATCTGGCTGGGCATTAGAAAAATCTATTAATACAGAGTGAAAGCCCGGCCCGGCTCAGCCTATGAATAGGTCTAGTTATAATAATACTCGTCAAACTCCACTTTAGCAGTTGATCCCTAATGTCTTGGACAGTTTCTTGCCCGGCTTACAAGTTACACCCATGGCTCTAGTGCTGCCCTCGCCTCTGGTTCGACTCTTTCACACCTGAAACCAATGTTTTCAAAATCATTGGACCAAACAGTCAAACCGAAAAAATCAGGAATTGGTCTCTTGACTGGTTCCATTTTATCCTAAAACCGCTATTTAGCCAAAAACGGTTGATTTTGTGAGTAAATCATTGATTCAGACGATTGAACCATCGAACTGTTTGACTTGGGAATGGGTTTTGTTTTTTTTTTTAATTTTTTGTCAAAACCATTCATTCAAATTGGATGATTGGACCATTAGACTTGAGAATGGGACCAGAATAGTTCCTTGTCCGATCTGATTTTAAAAACTTTGATTGAAACGCTAAATGTTAAATTGGACTGAACAACCAAGCATGGTATGTCATCCACTCCCATATCCTCACAGCACCCAGATGACGCTAGTTCAAAATTGTGATGGCCGTTTTACTAAAGCGGTGAAGAAGAAGGGGGGAGAGATAGACGAAGGGGAAAGAAGAAGAAATAGAATGAGAGAGAGGAAGAGAAAAATCAGAATTGGGAGGGTAATTTTATCCATAAAAGTCTACTTTTTTCCTCTCTGTCTTCTTCTGATACTCAAAATTTTAAACATTAATTTAGAAGAGACAAAACAAAAGTCATCACAAAGAACACGACCATTCCATTTATTGTTTGTTGGTAAGGCATAAATAAATAAAGAAATAAGCCGGCTTGGTTTGGTCTGATTTGGTCTATCGTTTGAGTCAAAAGCTTGGGACTTGGGAGCATCAAAATAGAAAGTAATTCCGGGTTCCATAGGAGTTCGGTATTAGGTACATCTTTCCACTTTCAGTATAACAGATTTTCTCTAACAAGAGAAAAATATCGGGTCGGGTCAATTGGCAACCCACATTATCGGGTTCGGTTAAAGTCGGGTTTCGAATCGTGTTAAATCCGGCCTAGGGTCCAGAGGGTCGAAATCAAGTTGAACCAAAACCAGTACCAACCTCTCTGTCATTGCAAATCACTTTCTCATTCAACAAGAAAAAGACAAAACAAGCCACCCTGACTTTGGTGTTTGTCTGTTAACCACTGGATTGGTATCAGAAGTAGATTCTGATCTAACGACATGCAAATGCCCTAATGTGTGGGTCCAAAGAGCACAGGTGTTTCAATTTTCAAGTAATATAGAGATCATGAACCTACGGATGAAATGAGATGCAGTGGCGTTAGAGCTCAAACGCTGTTCAATTCTCTATTGGGTCTTGAGTCTTCTCTGTCACCTGCCAAGTGGAAATGGAGAGAGAAGAGCAAAATCTGAGCCTGAGATCACCTCTAATTCAAGCTTCTGAAGAAAATGAGCTTGAATTGAATGAAAAAGAGAGTGCTGGAAAGGGGGTACAGACATCAGAGTTTGTTGCAGAGGTGAAGAAGCAGCTATGGTTGGCTGGGCCTCTGATTACAGTTGGTTTCTTGCAGTATTCTCTACAGATGATCTCAGTCATGTTTGTGGGTCATCTTGGAGAGTTGACTCTCTCCGGTGCTTCCATGGCCACTTCCTTCGCAACGGTGACTGGTTTCAGTTTACTGGTACGTCGTCTCCACTTAAATTGAGGTCGCAAATCAGTTTTCTTATTTGTGTCATCCTATGTGTTCTTCTACTTTCTTTTAGGTTAGTGAATCAATCTCTTATTGTCTTATTTCCAAACCAAATTTGCTACTCAGGGCTTATCCTGAAATACTTTAATTCTTTTTATGGGTTTGTTTGCATCTTTGGAATTTGTCTGGAAATTGTATGGTTAAATTTACTTCTGGAATTAAAGTTTCTACTTATTGCAGCCAACTGTAAAATCGGGATTCTTACCAAGTTACCAACTGTTGGATTTTAGAAGTTCTGATTAGTTCGTAGCTTGGGACAAGCAGTAACTCTGTTCTTATAGACTACTTTTCTATGCTTAGACAATCTTGCTTAAATTCAGAGACATTTCTTATTCTCAAGGATTTGTACATTTGGAGGGGGAGGGTTGGGAGCTTGTAAGCTTAGAGATACAATAAAGGTCATTCTAATTCAGTAGTTGTACTTTTGAGTGCTCTATAGAGAATTAAGAAGAGAATGAGCATATACATACAAATAATACACATTAAGGCATCGATCATAACTGAGAAAATTTTTCGTTGTACTTACAAGTGGAGGTGTGAACCTCAAGGCATTCTCCTTGAGCCTTGCCTTGAGGCGAGCTTCAATTCATATAACTCATATATACTTTAAAACACTGATTACAATATCATGATCAACATCAAACTAGGTCTGATCATTCCTGACAAGCCTGCTTCACCAGTATCCTGCTGTTTTTTTGGGTTTCCTGAACTGAAATCGGTCTCTCTGGAAATCTTTGTATCTAAGTGTCCATATTGGCTTTCTATGTGCAAATGTATCTAGAGTGACAATTTTCTTAAACAGTAACCACTTTTCAGATGTTTTACCACTTTACTTTTTCTTTATTAAACAGTTGGGAATGGGAAGTGCATTGGATACTTTATGTGGTCAATCCTATGGAGCAAAACAGTATCATATGCTTGGCATACATATGCAGAGAGCCATGTTTGTTCTTTTAGTTGTTAGTGTTCCACTCGCTTTCATCCTGTTCAATACAAGTACCTTTCTTTTGGCTGTGGGGCAAGATCCCGATATATCAGCAGAAGCTGGACTTTATGCTCGCTTTATGATCCCCTGCCTTTTTGCCTATGGCATTCTTCAATGTGAAATCAGATTCCTTCAAACCCAAAACATTGTCTTTCCAATGATGATAAGCTCTGGAATTACGACTTTGCTTCACATCCTTGTTTGTTGGATGTTGGTTTTCAAATCTAGTCTCAGCAACAGAGGTGCTGCCATGTCAATTTCCATTTCTTATTGGATGAATGTGTTACTGCTAGCACTTTATATCAAGTTATCCCCTAACTGCAAGAAGACTTGGACTGGTTTCTCAAGGGAATCGCTTCATGGTGTCCTCATTTTTATAAAGCTTGCAATTCCTTCAGCTGTTATGGTCTGGTAACAACTTCATCTTATCATAGTGCAAAAGTCTTAAATTGTTCTCATACTGTGTAAAATTTAACTCTCATGACTTCTAGCAGCTTGGAGATGTGGTCATTTGAAATGATGGTTCTCCTGTCTGGTCTTCTTCCTAATCCAAAATTAGAAACATCAGTGTTATCAATTTGGTGAGCATCTACTTTATCTAACCTTTTCCTTCATCTAGATTTTCTTCCATGGTACTCAGCACATGCTCATTTCTGTTCTATATGGGCAATATCCATAGATCTTTGCATATTTTATCCTGGATACAAATTTTCTTCCGTCTCCTAAATTACATTTAATTCCTATGTGGCACTAATTCTAAATCATCTACATATGGAACCATCCCCAGCCTTAACACAGCTTCAATGGTCTGGATGATCCCTTTTGGACTTGGTGGAGCTGTAAGGTAAGTAAAGCAGAATCAAACATTACTTCCTTCCTAATGTTGTCCCTACTTTATTCAAGTACCTTTAGCAATAACAGTTATCACAATTATCTTTTTTTCCTTTACTTATCAGCACGAGAGTTTCAAATGAATTGGGGGCTGAGAGTCCTCAAGCTGCACATTTAGCAGTAAAGGTTGTATTGCTTATGGCCATTACAGAGGGTATTCTAGTAGGCTTGGTCATGATCTTGATACGTAGAATTTGGGGTTATGCTTATAGCAATGAAGAAGAAGTAGCCAAATACGTAGCAACGATGATGCCAGTTCTTGCAACATCCAACTTCTTGGATGGAATCCAATCTGTGCTTTCAGGTTTGTGAGACATTGTACTTTATCAGCATCAATAGTTTTAAAGGAAATATTTCTTAATAAGTTGATTTTACTATTGAGTTCATCATTTAGGTACCGCAAGAGGGTGTGGGTGGCAGAAAATTGGTGCTCTTGTAAATTTGGGGGCATATTACCTTGCCGGCCTTCCTTCTGCTGTTTTATTAGCTTTCATTCTTCATATTGGAGGGAAGGTAAGTACTCAAATTTCTTCTCTTCCATTTTAATATAGTTCATGCATTTTTCTTGATTCCTTTTATGGATATGTAGAAATAATTTTCATTTTTTTCTGTTTGAAAATGTGGAAAATAGGGACTTTGGTTGGGGATCATATGTGCACTTATTGTTCAAGTATTGTCTCTTCTGTTCATAACTCTACGTACTAACTGGGAAGAAGAAGTAAGGATTTTCTATCTCCTTAGTTCACCACCACTTTATTTAATTTTTCTTATCTGATTACCTTTTTCTTCCTCTTCTTTAGGCAAGGAAAACTACTTGCAGAGTTCATGATTCTAGCATCCCCACAAATATGGCTTCATAAAGTTCAAATGTTAGGGACTCTGTTTAAGAATCTCCAACTAAATTCAACTCAACAAATATGTATTCCAACAATACTTCAGTGTACAATAATGTCCTAGAATGATGTCTTGCTTTTCAACAGCATTGCTTCAGTTTGTTACCAATTTCTATTGTTCTTACTCGATAAGGTTGTTAGAAACAGACTATGCATTTGTATTCATTATATATTTCTATACTATTTTAGAAAAAAGAAAAAAAAGATTGACCTTAGTCATAATCATTTTTATGTTCTATAACAGAACACAACTCTTCCCACATTTTCCAAAAGATAGAATTATGAGGATCTTCACTATAACTCATTTTATACCACCATAATTTGAGTTTAAAAGTAGTTACAGTTCACTACTATTTTCTTTCTTTTGTTGTTGAAGTTTATATGACATGCTATATCTCTAGAGCCCGGATCTGCTGTAGTCTAACAGGTGTGGCCAATACTGTAGACCCAATTATTTTAATCCATTATCCATCTCTCCCATATTCATTTGAATTTCATCCCATGTGTGACTTTTTACACGTCAAGCGATAGAAAGGACACCACTTACCCACTCCCCAAAGATGGCCTATGCAGTCATTCAAATTGCCGGCAATTTTCGACCTCTGCTTAATCATCCTGTTTGCCATTCTATCCCTATCTTTGGCCATATCCCCAATAGCATTCAAGGTGTTTGCCATTCCTTCCCAGTTCCAGGCATTCAGTCCCACTCCCAATCGTGACAGATTACGAAGGTGGTGTTTGAAACGAGAGAGAGAGGGATCTGTTATGAACACAAGTGTGTGAACCTGGCTATGTAATATGAAATATTGGCATGTTCACATGTGATTGGTTAAGTAACATGGTTCACAAGCCAGTGTGCGCAGCAGATCCTGCATTGTAAAAGAGGGAGTGAAAGAGAGGGTAGGACTACACAGACCAAACCCAAGCTCTCTCTCTCTCTCTCTCTCTTCAATCACGACCTTTGTCTCTGGAAGTTTTTTCGTCTTGCCAAAAAAACAACGGAAGAAAGCTACATTTTTCTGTTTTTGATGTTTTTTTCTGCTAAAAAGAGGGGAAATGCCAGAGCTGGAATATTTTAGCAAAGACTCAACCCGCCCAAATAGACGCCTCCCCAAATCTCTGAAACGCTTCAGAAGCTCCCTTTGGCCTTCAAGACCAAAACCATCGAATTGGAAGCTTAGGTACAGGAGAATTCGGATCTAGATTCCGTACTTTGAAGTTGATCGTCAACAGGTTATAGACCAGAACCATCGAATTCAACACCAACCAGACTGAACCAGGGACTTCACACATGAACCTTACAAATCAAAATGAAAGAATGGAATCTTGTTGTCCCTTATATTTAGAGACTATGAGAGTATGCGCAAAACCACCTGAGGACATCTATAAATATTCATCAGAGAAGTGGAAACTTGCAAAAATAACATAAATCTTGATTAAAGATTAACAGAATATAAATCTACCCTCCTGACGGGCCTGACCACCTCTTCACCGACTGTGCAACAATTTATGCTTTTGATTCAAATCACCAAAAAAAAAAAGAAAAAATTCAAAAACCTTCCACTTTAAGTTTGTTTTGTTTCAACATTTTTGTCAACATAGAAACAAATGCCTTAAAGGTTGGCTCTGTATACAAGTACGTGGGGAAAAAAAAATAAAAATGAATAACTCCACGTCTTTAAACTCCTTCCACTCTCGTTCACAGCATTCAACTGAATCATACCAAGATAAAGGCTCATAAAAATGCATTGCGTTCCAACGACGGTCCTCTCCATTTATCAATCACACTCTCCAAATGGAGGACAATCCAGAGTACCCAGCAGCTGCTATCTAATTGAAGCACTATAAGAACCATTAATGTAACAGGTACTGCATTCTCAATCCAAACTGTCATCTGAGTGTGGTGACAAACAGGTTATTCTCATTCAGGATGTAAGAATTCAAGGTCTAGTTTCCTCTTCAGATGTGATCTGTCAGCACTGCAAGAGAAATTTTAAGAAAAGAATTATATGTCAAAGCATTGGAATCCAGGTAAAGTATACTTGGCATGGGATTTTTGAGTTTGCCACGATTTTCATGTACTAGGAGAAACCTATACCTAATCAAATCCTCTTGGTCTATCTAGCAAATGCAGTTTTTCCCCATTTTTTTACCATAGTCATAAGTTGCCACGTCTATCTAGCAAACCTATACCTGCCCATGAATAAAGGATGGGCAGGGAGACACAGGGAACCTTTAGAACCCCAAAGTAATTTGCCACGTCAAACATTCCTGGGCTGTTTAACCTTCTCCAAATGATCTGACTAGGAGACTTGTGGCATATGTTTATTTTGTGCTCTAGCAGCAAATAAGGTGGCTTTGATTTGTTCTCTGTATTGGTAGGGAATCAGAGAACAGGACCTAACAATGATGGATCCCACTTCAGGGAGTAGCTATAACAAGATCAGCGGACAACCACACGGTATGCACTGCTTTGGAGTTTCCCACCCTCCAAATGAATATAGGCTACTGAAAACACTTACTTCACAATCATGTTTCAAGCTTATTCTTGGTACAGTTAATCTCCAATGTGGGACAAATAAAATCTCAAATGATCAGACCTAAACCTTCAAATGTGCAAGCTAAGTCATGAATCCTCAGACTATTTTAAGGTCCTATAGTTGAGATTCCTCAAGTCAGGCAACCCTATCCATAACCCACACCTTAACTTCCCCCATGAACTTTAATATGCAGTCTATATCAAAATGGATATCACATTACCTGTTAAGAGTTGGCCTGGGAGGGGGTCTTGATCCAAACACAGACAAATCTATTGACATTGGTGGCTTTTCTCTCCAGGCTGTGTTCTCACCAGTGGCTTGTCTAACTTCAAATGCACGATCATCAACCTTATCAACATGGTATGAACTTCCTTCGGGACCCTCACGCTGTAGCATCACTCTCCTTGATTTTCTTGGTGGTGATAAAACAATAGGACCATCCTGTGGATTAAAATCTGAAGGCCTAGAATTCAGAGATTCCCCCTTTGGAGGAGGTCTTGGAAGCAAAACTGGTTTTGTTGGTGCAGGTACAGATGAGAAATACCTAAATACAAATAAAGATATTAAGATTACTAATCAATAAAAATTGATTCAGGTTAGATGTATCTTGCATACCTGTGCTCCAATGCCTGCTGTACAGAGATTCTTGCTTTTGGATCATAGGTGAACATCTTCGATAATAGATCTAATGCATCATCACTTGCCATTGGAAACAAAGAACGCAGGGAAGGTGAAGGAACATATTGATACTCCACATAATCTGGAAGGTAAATCATGTCAGGCCACTGAGAAGGCTTTGGAGTCCCAAAAGCGGCAAAGATCTTGCCCAATTGATCAATATCGCTTGAGCCCTGGTTCAAACACCAAAAGAATGCTTTTTCAGATAAATAGCAAAACAAATCTTGTTTATTAAGAAGCTCAGTCCTTCTTTCCCTTTTATACCACATTTGACACATTTACCTTCACTTGTCCACAACAATGTTGTCAAAATCTTATGATTTACAATATGATTCACGATTTGAATCATGAATCCCAAGGGTTTCAATTTTATGTCTGAATCCTTGCTTTGAATCCTAGGATTTGATTCATAAATCTTATGATTTTTACGATTCACTATGATTCAAATAAATTCAATTAAGAATTAGTTCTCTACTTTGTTTGTCTTTGTTTATGTTTAGTTTTGCCATGGGAGACTTTTTTAAAGCCCTTACTAGAAAATGATTTATTTGCACTATTCAAGACTAGAAATTGAGTTTATTTTCTATCATATGTAAGTTAAAGGGCCATTGTATGTAGATTTGTTTGATTTTCAAGCCAAACTTGATTATATCATCTTAGGATTCTATTGTAGAAATTCTATTGCTTTAAGTACAAATATGGTAGATATAGATTAAAAATAGGGTAAAGTCACTTTCCTATATATATTTAGCTTTTTAATATATCTATATTTAATTTTTTGACAAGTTTGTAAAAAAATAGAAATAATCTTATGATTCACAATTTGATTCAATTCAATTTCTCTATGATTTACTATACAAGTACGATTTTCAAAACATTGGTCCACAAAGGACAAAAACAAAGAAAACAGCACTAATGTATGGACAAGCAACAATCTTAATTGTTGGCATACCAAATATTAATGCAAAATCAATATAAAGGCCAAGTGACGTGATTAGACCTAGCAAACTGATTGAGGTCGGGTCAAGGCATTTTTAGGCCATTTCAGGTTGGGCTGGCAAAGGATAGACCCTAACCATAATTATTCAGCTTAGGGTTGACTCATGAATCAGACAGGTCAATGGTTCAACCTCCCAGGTCAGCTGGTCTTTGACTAAGTCTATGGTTTTTCACCAAAAATACGGGTTTAACCGTTCGATTCAAATGGTTTGAATGGTTCTACTGTTTAGGTCAAAACCAGTTTGAAAATGTTAGTTTGAGAATAGGTGACTCCGTGGTGACATGACCCATCCCAACCCAAGTTCTTTTCGGGTCAGGCACTATGTATATAACTCGCATTCTCCATTACCAGTCAACAACAGAACTTTCTGAATGATGTATGTGGATTGTGAAATAACTCTATGTGAATCAAATGGATGATAAACCCAAGCACTGAAAGAGCTGCAAATGTTGTAGGTAAACCTCATTGTGATGCTAGAAAAATACTTCCACTAAAAGCTGGCCATATAGGACAGTGATGCACCACCTTGGTGGCTTCAGTACTTGTTCAATTTGTGACCCTTCAACAGAATTTATGTTCATCAAAACAAGAAAGAAGTGTTCATAACCAATCATAGAACCTGCTCTTGTTGTTATTCTCCAGCCCTAGACGAACTATCACTTCTTGACTATGGTCATTGTCTTTCCTACTATTTACAAAGTCAAGGCAATGACCAGTGTCAATAAGCGAAGTTTTAAAACTTCTAGTCACTTTAGGTCACTAAAGAGCGTGGACAATCCAAAGCCATTGATTCCCAGTTTACCCTAATAAATCACTATAAACAATCTTTCCTGAAAAACTCAAAATAACACTATATATAGACATCAAAAAGATCAAGTTTGATTGCAATGAACAAAGCATACTTGATTAAATGCAAAGATAGGTTATCTCTTCATTGATTTTGTGATTCAAATTTTCATTTAACAAAAAGAATAATAAAGAAAGAATATGAAAATAATATATATATATAACAATATGAAATAATATATATACTCTAGAATGAAGATGGGAGAGTTTGTGGAGGTAGGCCGTTGGAGAAAAGCTTTGAAAATTGAAACTAAGGAGCTTCTATTTGAGGAGCTGAGATTAAATGGTCAGCTGAGCTTGAAAATCAGGGAAGCAAAGAGAGGGATGGTGCTATTAGAAGGTTTGGGGGTAATTGAAGGGTTCAAGGAGTTTATAAAAGGTGCAAGTAACAAAGGCAAACAAAATAGTTGGAAAGAGTTTCTCTCAGAAACTGGAAGAAGGTTTGTTGTAGAGTGTAAGAGAAACCTTAAAGGTTATTTTATTTCTTTGACGGAATTTTTTGGCAAGGGTAGAAAGCAGATGGTCTGCCTCCCAGAAGGAAGGAAGAGTCAGGGCTGGAAAGCAGTTCATGGGGTCTTATGTGAACTGCTGCAACGCTTGGGTGCTAAAACAGAAATAACAGTAAAAAGGAAGATAAGCAGTTCTAATAGTCTGGTGAGCAATAATAAGCAAGAGACTCTTTTAGTGACAGCTGGGGCAGGCAAATACAGAATGGGAGTAAACATACAGAGAGGAGATTGGGGAAGTAAACTGATAGTTAAAGCTTCAGCTCATATACTAGACTGGAGGAAAGTTGCAGATCTGTTAACAGCAAGTTTAAAGTTGAAGAGTACGTTTATATTAACACCCTTTGAGAAGGACAAGACTGTGCTAGATCTGCTTGAGAATAGAGTAGAAGTTGAGGCATTAAATATCAAAGCTGATCTTGGAAATCTCACAGTATCAAGATGGTGTCCGGGATCAAACTCCAAAGATTTCTTTGTTGAAGATGGAGTGCTGGTGCATCTCTTAGGCCTTCCCTTTAACTTGTGGAAGCAAGAATTTGCTGAAGCCATTGCTTTGATGTGTGGAGGATCATTAGGAGGTGCCTTTTGGGGAGACCTTTGTTCAGCTTCCATTTTATTGAATGGTGTAAAACCTGAGGAGATTCCTCGGAAGATAGAGGTGCTAGTTGAAGGGCTTTGTTACTCAGTGTGTCTGGCTTCATCCATTGAATCGGTGCTCTGGAAAGAGGCTCGTAGGGAGGGAGATGAGAAGGTTGAAGAAGAAGAACTGCGTGGCAAGAAAGGATTGGATGATTCAAACAAGAAAAGAACTTTCACTAAAATGGAAAAACAAAGGCTGGAGAAACAAAAGGGTAGCATTCAGGGGGTGGGATTTATGCGTGTGGGGACAGTGAACAGTCTGGAGGGTGGCAGGTCTTTTGCACAGGTTGTAACCGGCGCCAATCTGACTTTTTTGAACAAGGAAAAGGGGTTGGTCCAGGGAAGAACTGAACCTAGACCAGATAAAACCAAACCAAGCCAGGGGTTGGACGTGCGTGACCCTTTTAAAAGTCACGTGAGGTCGTGGTGGTTTAGGAATGGGCCAAAGCCAAAGCCCATGCGGAATGTTTTGGGTGCGAATAAAGACCCAAATGGGTCAGCGGGCCCGACCCAGTATTTTAAAAAGGCGCATGAGCCTTTAATGAATCACGTTGTTAACTATCATCGTCCCCAGTCGCGAGACAGGGGGGAACACGCGCAGCGCCGGAAAGTGGAGAAGAAGCTCGATCTGCAGTGGGTTTCCCAATGAAGGCTGAAGGAGCTTAGCCCCCTACGACGCCCCTCAGAGAGGCCGAAGCCAAGATACGCTAGGGGAAGAACTGAAGAGAAGGATGAAGGTTGGGTGCAGTGCAGTGAAGGTGATGAAGAATCGGAGGACTTTTCTGTTGATGGTACTAGCGTGGCCAGTGTAAACGACGAAGGTAGTTGTGCTGGAGGTGACATGGATGGGTGGAATATTGCAAGTTTATTCTAGGGTGAAGATTGTAAGCGGTTCAACTCATTCCCAAGACCACAGAGTGTGCAAGGATTATCAAAAGGGGCAGACCGGGAGAACCGGAAGCAGACCAAGAACACACCATCTAGGGGTAAACCAGGGGTAGAGTGGAAAGATCACCAGGGTGACCAAAGGACAGAAGTACTTCCCAACCAAATCAAGGAGATAGATGTTTACCAACCTCTGGAACAAGAGAGGGAGGCAGAGAGTAGTCCTTTTCTAGCTTTGTCCATCAGTCCCAAGTAACCAAGTGATTTCGGTTTGTGCTACTAATGTGTCTCATGTGTCTTTGGTTCCAGATTCCGTTCCTGTTCCATGTCCTGTAGCCCATGAATATGTAGTCGAGCCAGCAGACAAGCTCTCCGATGAGGGGGAGAGGGGAAGGAAGGAATGTGCGAAGGTGCCGAAAGGAAGGTATAGGAGTGAAAAAGTGTGGGAAATCATTGAAAGAGTGTTTAAGAAAGTGGAAGGAAAGCTGATCTGGAGGAGGGAAGGGGAGGAAGGAAGAGGGGAGGGGTTAGTGGAGAGGAGGGAAAGGAATAAGGGTAGAGATGGAGAGGACTACGGGGAGAGAGCAGGGAAGGAGGGAGGTAATAGGAAAGGGAGGGTGGATGAAGAGGAAAGAATAGAGGTGGGACCAGAGGAGAGGAAGAAAGGGCAGGTGGACAGAGATGGAGGAGATTTTATAGGAAGGGTAGGGGTGGTGGACTCGGTGAGAGAAGACATAATAGCAGAATTTGTAGGGAAGTTGGGTTGCAGGTTGGAAGATTTGAATGTGTTGAAAGAAATCTTACAGAAGAGGAAGGAGAATATCAGAATAAAGAAGAGATTAAGTGAAGTAGAGAGATTGAAGAGAGATGTAGAAGGAGACAAAAGGCTCGAGGTAAAAAGAGATAGAAGGAAAGGGGATAGTAGTGGTAGGTGGCAAGAGGTTTAAAAAAGAAGCGGAATGAAGATTCTTAGTTGGAATGTGAGGAGAATTGGGAGTGCAAGGAAGAGAACAACAATAAAAGAGGTAATAAGACGGTGTGACCCAGACATTGTGCTGCTGCAAGAGTCTAAGAGAATGGAGTTTAATGATAAATGGGCAAGGAGTGGTGGAAGAGGGATGTGGTGGAAGGTCTGGAGGAGTTGATCGGAAAGTACTCGATTTCTATGAAGTTTAAGTAGCAAGAGGATGACTATATGTGGGTACTCACAAATGTTTACAGACCAAATGACTACAAAGAGAGAGAGGAGTTGTGGGAGGAATTGGCTGATGTTAGAGGGTTGTGGGATGGGCCTTGG